TTTTACCAATATGATAGTCAACTCTTAAGATCACTTGATATTGAAAGAAATTGTTTTAAAAATTCTTTTATTATACTGAAACTATTCAATAGATTTGAATGTAAAATATATCTATTACTAGCGACTCACCCTAGTTTCGTTAGCGCTCGTCGCTGCTTACGTTTTAATGTTTTATTCCTCCACGAGCGCGGACACGCCGCGCCGGCGTGTCAGTTAACAATAGATTTCTTAGAAATTTAATTAATTTCTTAAAAATTTACCTGGAGGTGTTAACATAGATTTCTTAGAGATGACATATTTTCCTGCAGTAAAAAGAATCATATGTTGACCCGGATAACCAGCTATCATCATACCAAATTTCATAAAAATCCCTCCAGTGGGTTTTCCGTGATACGGTCACAGACAGACAGACAGACAAAAATTCTAAAAAACTATAGATTCGGCCTCTGTATAGATAATAATATGTATTTCAATAAGATTTTCCAAAAAAATATTTCATGTACAGATTCGGTTTAGTTACAATTTTATTATATGTATAAATAATCAGACGTTTTTCCCAGATTCAGGTGCTCTATATGGTCTGAAGCTCTTGGATACTTATCATTGAAATGTCTTGTTAGGAACGACACAACGACCTATCGAGCTTTTCAATAGCTGTTCCAAAAATCTAAATCGAGAAACGAAGAATACTACGAGTATATATGTACATTATCCTCGTAAATATGTACATTTTTCTAAATCTATTGGATACTTCAAGAATGCTTAAATCATAATTAATATCTACTTATAATCCTTTATTATTCAGAATGAAAACTCCCGTTTAGTTCTTTTTACATTTTAGTGCTTCGAAGTCGGTTTTTTTTAAGTTTTTTTTACCTCAAAAGATCGTGAAATACAACACACAAATAAACTATCCAAAATATTTCTATCTAGATCACAGATTTATTGAGACGTAGATGCTTACGTCAGTCTTATTGTTGTAGTTACCTATAAATTATAACTTTATAAAATATATTTTCGATATGTGGAACTTGATATGTGGCAGTTCTACTTGTTTATCTTGTATACAGAAAGTATTGCAAAATATTTTGACTTGTATTAAAAAATCAACATTATTGAATTATAAAATATTTAGTAAAACACATTTTTCTTTAGATTTTCTAACCCAACATACGTGTTCAGATGAATCAAGCAGATGTCAAATTTTATTTAGAAACCATGATTCTTTCGAAATCTATACATATAACAAAATTGTAACTAAGTCGAATCTGTACATTAAATATTTTTTGAAAAATCTAATGAAAATAGACATTATTATCGATACAGAGTCCGAATCTATAGTTTTTAAAAAATTTGTCTGTCTGTCTGTTACTGCATCACTAGAAAACCACTGGACAGATTTTGATTAAATTTGGTATTATGGTAGCTGGTTATCCTGATCAACATATAGGATATTTTTTACCGCGGTAAAATGTCTCATTTTTGAGAAAAAGGACAAAAACTGCTTTGTTAGAGTATACTAATATGTAAAACCTAAGAATTTGGTTTTTAGTCATCTGAACGCAGGCGGAGCCGCGGGCAATGCTAGTAATCTTTAAATAGACATCAAAGAAGTTCTTCTAACTTCTTACTTTTACTTTTCCAATGTAAAGCAAGAAAAATGTGGAAAATATTTAAAAAAATATTAATAAAATTTATTTATTTAGACATCTTTAACCCATTTGTTCTTTAGTAATGATACATAATTCTTATATTAATAAAAAATTCAAGCGAAGGTGAGTCGCTAGTATCATATAAACTGTGTAATGTAATAAATTAATAGGTTGATTTAATTTAAAGTTTATTTTTTATTTTTGAAGTTATACATATGAGACTAACTATGAGAGTAAATGCTTTTTTTAGTTAATTAACCTTTTCAATTGATATTTTTATATAGGCGTGCATAAAAAACATATTTCGCCATCTTTGCGAGTCCACCATATTTAATTTAGAATGAAGTCACTTAGCTAGCCACGCCAAATTTTAGCTCAATCGGTTGAGTTTTCTAAAAGCCAGTTGCAAGATTTGATCTGAACAAACATACATACAACATTGCAAGTTTAATATGAACTTGTAAAATAGATAGAAGTTACGGGATTTGCGATCGCATATCTATCGATTATCGATTATCACTTTATCTTCTCTGGTTACTCTGCAAGTGATAATTAAGTGGGACAATAATTTATATGCTCTTACATTCTTAACAACACTTTAACTTTTTAAATGGTGATCTTTTAAACTAACCTAATGTTAAAAATACTAATATTAAGGCAAATATATTTTGAGCTATGTATATTTATAGTTCTTAGTGTATTTAGGAAGTGGTAGCCCAGTGGTAACGGCTGGCTTGGTGATGCGGGTTCAAATTCCCTGTCAGTACTCTAATATTCTCATGTGCGAATCATTTCCAACATGATTACTACCTGTCTTATAATGAAGGAAAACATCGTGACGAAACCTGCATGTCTGAGAGGACCCAGCAAGTTTTCGAAAGACATGTGAAATCCGCTAACCTGTACTTGGTGATTGTGAACTATGGCCTGACCCTCATTGTAGTAAAGGACCGTTCTCAGCAGGACATGAAAAATGGGCTGAATATAATATTTATAATTCTACGATATAGCTCTCATCTAACTCTTATTGAAAAAAATAAATATTAATTTATCAAAACATATTAAAAAGCGGCATATTGGAGCATGTTTTATTTGTCATACTATTGTAATATAACGAATTAAAGCAATAGAAATTACTTTAAAACAATATTGTAAATTTTATTTTCTACATTAAATATTAAGAGAATGTAAATATGACGGAGCTTTGTTAGAATATTCATAAAGAGTGCTATTTACGGTGGTGTTCATCACTACAAAAGAAAACTTCATACATCCATGCGGTTTCGGGACAATGTGAGCTAATGACAGTAGAAAAGTTCTGTTTGTAGTCTAACTTGAGTTTTTAGAATTTAAAGTACTTAAGTTTTCACTGTTTAGATGCTTCACCATGTCGTTTTCTGAAGATAACGTTGAATAGCCATAAATACATTTAAAATATATTTTCCCCCAAATTATTGACATTTTTATATTATTATAATCAATAATCATTAATCACACTATAGTAACATTATAATAATATACACCTTGTAGTCTGAACAGGTTTTATGCTTTAAGGGTTCAATCAATATATTACACTACCTACATTTTTTAAGTTGTATCGAGAGATTATATACATATGTGGTAGAGTGTACGTGGAGTAGCAAGCAACTGTTTCTGTTACGGTTAGCCTTTATCATCCCACTGCTGGGTAAAGGCCTCTTTTCTACGTTCCCAAGTTTTGCGGGCTTACGCATAAATGGTCCATTTTGGATCGAATTTCTCCAACTCATCTCGCCATTTTGTTCGTGATCTGCCGCGGCGCTGCCTCCATGTCTCATTCTCTCAAGGCTCCGCTTTGTGATTAATAGCTTGAAGGTCTATGGTTGAGAGTCCTGTTTGAAATCCAACTTGTTCGAGTGGCTCATAGCTATCTAAGCGTGCTCTGATATTCATTCTATTTTCTATTATTTTGATGAAAACTTTGTATAGATGGGAGTCGCGAGCGAAAAAGATGAAAATTTCGGACATTTTTTTACATGTCCTAAAACAAAAGTTATAATGGCAATAATTTCCCCACACCAGGCCTCAAAAATATTGTGACAGTAAAAAAATGACTAACTTTTATTGTCAAACTCCAGTATTGATCCCACGATTTCATGATATGTCGCCATATGAACTAGTCAGTAAAATTGAGTGTCAGTCAATATTTGTAATAAAGAGAGATGGATGGTCTGTATAGAGTTATAGTCTGTGAACTCTTCGTTTATGTATCCCAAAAATCATTGTTATATTCGGCGACATGATATTATAGAACATGTTTTGCACGTCATGCAATTTTAATTTGAAGTAGATGGCTCAGCAGAAATATCTTTTGTGAGAGGATTTTCTTAGTGCCTAATGTACCTACTAGCTCATATTGTGTTCTGCTAAAATACTTTATAAGAAATTTCTATCTATACCATATAAAAAAACGTATTTTAATAAAAATGGCTATAATTATATAATAAGCAAAGTCGATTTAAATATTGGTAAAGGGTTATTCGAAATAGTGCATCGACTCTATGGACGGTACGATGCATAAAATATTTGTAATAAGATATTAGATATATGAGTTTATGTTTTAATTAGTTTTTATTTTATGTTTTAGTTAGTGTTAATCTCAGAACATTCTGTATAGATATTAATACGGTTTTCACTAATAGAAACGGGGTTTACAGGGATTATCTAGGAAACTTACACACTATAATTAAAAAAAAAATCGATAATAAGCTACCAGTATAATTTTTGTGAATTGAGTTGAAAATTTCGTTCATTCTGAAAGATTGCGTAAATGCGATAAGCGTCTGGAAGCTTTGTCAATAAAACTCTAATTGACAGACAACGCAAAACCTAAACTGCTGGGAAACCAGAAACATGAAATTATGCACAAGATTTGCCTTTACAAATATGAGTACTAAGAAACGATTTTTGAACAATATCGATTCCAAAAGGAAGTGAAATATTGTTGGAAATTAGTCATTTTGAAGTAAAAATATTAAATTGATATTTAAGCTTCTGTTAATATTGCTAATACCAAATTCCATCGGGATCACTGTTTATTTGGTATATTATAGGCCGCAGATGAAGAAGATTATTGTTATTCCTTTATACAGTAATTGTAGTCGTATGATATAAGGATATTTTTGTCTCATAGGTTTCGCACCTCAGATATTCTCATGTGCGAACTATTTTCAACACGATTACTACTTGCCTTACGGTGAAGCAATTGTGAGGAAACCTGCATATCTGAGAGAACGTAGCTAGTTTTCGAAAGATATGTTCACTGTTCAGTATCACTATTATATATTATTATATTATTTTCTTTATCAGGCAATGTGGCGGTTACGATAACGGCCCCTTACAATGTGTGCGAAGGCTAGGAGCTAGAAGCTCTCCTGATCTCTCACCCAGAACAAATGTGTCGAGGCAGCTAACTTGGAGAGTCACGTCTACTACACGGTAAGCATCTAATGCATAAATTTTAAATAACAAAATTTAACTAAAAAGGTATATTGACTTCAAAATCATTTTGTTTAAACTTAAGTAACTCTCATCTATTCATTAAAAATAACGCAGATTTGACAAAAATGCGTAAAAATACACGGTATACTTTTAATGATTTAAATCGGCCAAAAGGAAGATGTCAGTGAACTTAGCAGATCATTGTCCAGCAGATCAAAAAAAAAAGTGAGTTCTATTCGCATGCACGAGAGTTCTATAGTTCCTGATACTTTTTAGAAATAGTTCTGGCGTTTTTACCTTAAAAAAAGTCAATTGACAAAATGATCTGCTAACTTCCCGTAGCAGATCATTTTGCAGAAAATCAAAAACAAATGTGAGTTCTTCGCGCAAGGAGCTGAGTTCTACAGTTCCTGATACTTTTCAGGAATAGTTCTGGACTCTCAGCCAAGTTCCAGCAGATCATATCCGAATTTTTGAAAAGTCAGAACATACCATTTTTATTGTTTCAAATTATTGTAAAAGGCTAGAACTCTTTCGCTTATCACCGATCTGTATCAGAACTCTAATATAGAACTCGATTCGAGTCCAGAACTCACGTCCAAGTGCCAGCAGAGCATACCTAAACGTTGGAAATTATGAAAAAAAAACCTATTTTTATTGTTTTAAATTATTTAGAAAGGCTAGAAGCTAGAACTCTTTCGTTTATAATAGATCTGTACCAGAACTCTAATATAGAACTCGGTTCGAGTCCAGAACTCACGTCCAAGTGCCAGCAGAGCATACCAGAACGTTGGAAAATATGAAAAAACAAACTATTTTCATTGTTTTAAATTATTAAGACAGGCTAGAAGTTAGAACTCTTTCGTTTATAACAGATCTGTACCAGAACTCTAATATAGAACTCGATTCAAGTCCAGAACTCACGTCCAAGTGCCAGCAGAGCATACTTGAACGTTGGAAATTATGAAAAAAAAAACTATTTTTATTGTTTTAAATTACTTAGAAAGGCTAGAAGCTAGAACTCTTTCGTTTATAATAGATCTGTACCAGAACTCTAATATAGATTTCGATTCGAGTCCAGAACTATCGTCCAAGTGCCAGCAGAGCATACCAGAACGTTGGAAAATGTGAAAAAAAAACTATTTTCATTGTTTTAAATTATTTAGAAAGGCTAGAAGCTAGAACTCTTTCGTTTATAATAGATCTGTACCAGAACTCTAATATAGAACTCGATTCGAGTCCAGAACTCACGTCCAAGTGCCAGCAGAGCATACCTGAAGGTTGGAAAATATGAAAAAACAAACTATTTTCATTGTTTTAAATTATTTAGAAAGGCTAGAAGTTAGAACTCTTTCGTTTATAACAGATCTGTACCAGAACTCTAATAAAGAACTCGATTAGAGTCCAGAACTCACGTCCAAGTGCCAGCAGAGCATACCTAAACGTTGGAAATTATGAAAAAAAACCTATTTATATTGTTTTAAATTATTTAGAAAGGCTAGAAGCTAGAACTCTTTCGTTAATAACAGATCTGTATCAGAACTCTAATATAGAACTCGATTTGAGTCCAGAACTCACGTCCAAGTGCCAGAAGAGCATACCTAAACGTTGGAAATTATGAAAAAAAAACCTATTTTTATTGTTTTAAATTATTTAGAAAGGCAAGAAGCTAGAACTCTTTCGTTTATAATAGATATGTAACAGAACTCTAATATAGAACTCGATTTGAGTCCAGAACTCACGTCCAAGTGCCAGCAGAGCATACCTAAACGTTGGAAATTATGAAAAAAAAACCTATTTTTATTGTTTTAAATTATTTAGAAAGGCTAGAAGCTAGAACTCTTTCGTTTATAATAGATCTGTACCAGAACTCTAATAAAGAACTCGATTCGAGTCCAGAACTCACGTTCAAGTGCCAGCAGAGCATACCTAAACGTTGGAAATTATGAAAAAAAAACCTATTTTTATTGTTTTAAATTATTTAGAAAGGCTAGAAGCTAGAACTCTTTCGTTTATAATAGATCTGTACCAGAACTCTAATATAGAACTCGATTCGAGTTCAGAACTCACGTCCAAGTGCCAGCAGAGCATACCTAAACGTTGGAAATTATGAAAAAAAGACCTATTTTTATTGTTTTAAATTATTTAGAAAGGCTAGAAGCTAGAACTCTTTCGTTTATAATAGATCTGTACCAGAACTCTAATATAGAACTCGATTCGAGTCCAGAACTCACGTCCAAGTGCCAGCAGAGCATACCTAAACGTTGGAAATTATGAAAAAAAACCTATTTTTATTGTTTTAAATTATTTAGAAAGGCTGGAAGCTAGAACTCTTTCGTTTATAATAGATCTGTACCAGAACTCTAATATAGAACTCGATTCGAGTCCAGAACTCACGTCCAAGTGCCAGCAGAGCATACCTAAACGTTGGAAATTATGAAAAAAAAAACCTATTTTTATTGTTTTAAATTATTTAGAAAGGCTAGAAGCTAGAACTCTTTCGTTTATAATAGATCTGTACCAGAACTCTAATATAGAACTCGATTCGAGTCCAGAACTCACGTCCAAGTGCCAGCAGAGCATACCTAAACATTGGAAATTATGAAAAAAAGACCTATTTTTATTGTTTTAAATTATTTAGAAAGGCAAGAAGCTAGAACTCTTTCGTTTATAATAGATCTGTACCAGAACTCTAATATAGAACTCGATTCGAGTCCAGAACTCACGTCCAAGTGCCAGCAGAGCATACCTAAACGTTGGAAATTATGAAAAAAAAACCTATTTTTATTGTTTTAAATTATTTAGAAAGGCTAGAAGCTAGAACTCTTTCGTTTATAATAGATCTGTACCAGAACTCTAATATAGAACTCGATTCGAGTCCAGAACTCACGTCCAAGTGCCAGCAGAGCATACCTAAACGTTGGAAATTATGAAAAGAAAAACCTATTTTTATTGTTTTAAATTATTTAGAAAGGCTGGAAGCTAGAACTCTTTCGTTTATAATAGATCTGTACCAGAACTCTAATATAGAATTCGATTCGAGTCCAGAACTCACGTCCAAGTGCCAGCAGAGCATACCTGAAGGTTGGAAAATATGAAAAAACAAACTATTTTTATTGTTTTAAATTATTTAGAAAGGCAAGAAGCTAGAACTCTTTCGTTTATAATAGATATGTAACAGAACTCTAATATAGAACTCGATTTGAGTCCAGAACTCACGTCCAAGTGCCAGCAGAGCATACCAGAACGTTGGAAAATATGAAAAAACAAACTATTTTCATTGTTTTAAATTATTAAGACAGGCTAGAAGTTAGAACTCTTTCGTTTATAACAGATCTGTACCAGAACTCTAATATAGAACTCGATTCGAGTCCAGAACTCACGTCCAAGTGCCAGCAGAGCATACCTGAACGTACGAAAATATAAAAAAACAAACTATTTTCGTTTTTTTAAATGATTTAAAAAGGCTAGAAACAAAACCCAACGTGAATAAAGTCTAGTACTCATCAGCCGAACGCGCACCGGCTGCGTTTCGAATTATCACTTACCTTGCTTATACCTATATCATATTTTCGTAGATTTACACGAATATTTGACATTTTAAATAAAACTATCTTTTCGTATTCGATTCGACTTCGAAAATATCTGATTAGGTATGTATTCTAAATGAAAACCCCCTTTATTTTTTCAAGTTATCTATACTAATATTATAAAGAGGTAAAGTGTGTGATCTTGTGAGTTTGTGGGTTTGTGAGTTGGTGAGTTTGTGACGTTGTAGGGGGTAATCTCTGGATCTACTGAACCGATTTTCAAAATTCTTTCACCAATAGAAAGCCACGTTCTTTCTGAGTGTCATAGGCTATATATTAACCTGAAGACTGAGAAGGCTTTTTCGTGGTAGTCCGATTTGCAAAGTAAGTCGGACAAAAAACGGTCGAACGAAAACTTTTCTTACGAACGCTGCATTAACGATGAGAGATATATGGTTATGTTCTAGAGAAAAGTTGTAGAGCTTAATAATGCCTACAAAAAAGTCACCGACAGCATATGTTTAACTTTTATATTTAAGTCACAAAAAGTAGTTTTTTATATTAAAAATATAATTTAAATCGGTGGGTCATGTTTATTAGTCATATTATCAACATTTATGAATTCTTATCAAAATAAGTAAATTTATCGTTAAAATGTTTAAAACAAAAGAGTTTTCCCTTTTACTGCATATAATTTGGACAAATGGTTAAAGAGATAATACAACATATTCGTAGGTATGGACGAACCCGAGCGAACTGTTTGTCTGTTTTCCTGTTTGTACGGGCTAATCTCCGAATCTATTGGACCGATTTAAATGAAATTTTGCATGGTGGTACTTTATATCCCCGTGAAACATCGTAAATACTTTTATCCTGGAAAATTAAAGTGTTCCCTTGGGATAGTTAAAACACTATAACAACTTATACAGCTTATTACACAAGAACTACTGATTGGATGTTAATGAAAATTGACATTAATATAGATCGTACATGACAAAAACAAATCAGCTACTTCTCATCCCGGAATATTAAAGAGTTTCCGTGGGATAGCCAAAAAACTATAGTAACTTATACAGCTTAGTACACAAAAACTACTGATTGGATTTTGATGAAACTTTACAATAATATATAGTATAGTTCATACATCAGAATAACAAATAGGTTGCTTTTTATCCCGGAAAAATGTATTGTTCCCGTGGGATAGATGTTTTTGTTTATTTGTAACGTATTATGTATACAACGTAAACCCCAAAACAATACTTATTAAAAAATTTGTCTGTTTGCCTGTTGTGTGTTGTGTTTGTCTGTTTTTGCGTGAGCGTTTCACGCGAAAAGTAATGTACCGTTTTGAATGAAATTTGGTGATGTGATAACTTATTACTCGAGTCAACATTTAGGATACCTTTTGTATGTATTTAGGTATGTATGTATTCAGCCCTTTTTAACGTCCCACTGCTGGGCACGGGC